TTCCGCATATATCGTGCATGATGTAACATATCACCATGGAAACCATTGTAACTAGCAGGACTTTATCTGGGTTAGAGGCTCAGGTATGCTTTCAGTGACTCTTTCTGGTTTTACTGATGTTCATTCCATCTTTTGTGCCTATCTTCAGTGCCTCGCCATGACAACGAACAATCTTCATAATTTTGGTCTGGGTACGAGGTCACAGCACAGCATCACCTATTCAGGCTATTGATATACTCCCCGCACAGAACTTATCCTGGTGAGCACGAAACATAATATCCGACTGCTTTCTTCTTGCCATCAGTATCACAACTGCGTGTGTTTCACCCAAATATTTACAATGCCCAGCACACCGTGTATCGGTATGTGTACTGCCTTATAAGGAGTGTCATCCAATGTACACTGTACTACCTACATGAACATGTCCACGAATACCGCGGCAACTCATGTACAGTACTGTACCGTGAAGGCGCAAGTACTGGCCTGGTACAGGGCCCCACGACAGGTATGCACCATACCAGTCAGTTTACTCGCCATGTACAAGTAGTGATACGTACATGTACTGGGTCATGGACATAACACGACAAGATCACGCTACACCTTAGTCCTAGTACGAGTACAATACCAGCTGGATGCAGTGGCAGGCGGCAGGGAGATTCAACACTTCTGCCCACCATGACCACTGTCACACTTTCACTGGGTGTAAAGCGGATGGACGATACACACACACACACATTCATACCCTGCTACAAGACTGGCACAAGGCACACAGCAGGTAACGCTATGACAAAGAGCCACAACACCGACTCTACATGTAACCGTTTGTAGTTACAGATGGAAATTCATCATGGAATCCTGATAATTCGAATACGGCTTTTAATTACCGATCTCTACCACAGTGTTTGTGTCTATTTCTCAGCGTAAATGCTTCCTGTATAGTAAAGGCGTCTAGCATATGTAACTAGTACATGTACAGGTGGAATCCTGATAAAGTGATAATTCGAACCCCAAAATGACAGGGAAAAACTGCTAGTTATCTGGACATTCTAATTATCCAAACATGTACAGTTGAACATCGATTATCCGCACATCGACTATCCGACCATTCGATTATCCGTAACAGTTTTTTTGGGCGCACGTGCCGTAGAGTACGCACTGTGCATGTAGTGAGCCATTCAAAAAATACGAAAATTTTGAAAAGTAGCACTCTATTCTATTTACAATGTACATGTACATGTATTTACAGTGTGTTTTCTTATCCGGAACATTTGCCTTATCTGAACACCACCTGACAGTTGTCTGCCCAGAGGTGGTCGGATAATCGATGTTCAACTGTACTGCTTACAGCAGCCTCTAGGCTAGGTCTTATGCAGACGCAGCGCATGGCAGGAAAGATATATGGACTTGACATAGGACACACACATGTACATAAACATATACTTCGAAGTACTTTTCAACGCCAGTGTGCGAGAAGGGAGTAGCAGTGCTGCATGGTCAAAAACACTCCACCGCAACACGTTATGTGTGTCAAAATGCTCGCATCGACACGCAGAGTCGCACTACGCACCTTATTGTAGGCACAGATTTAGTGGACATTGAAGTGCCTAATGAGCTCCACCAAACCAATCACACACATGACCAAGGTTGCTAGTACTCAGTAACTTACAAAACAACACGTCACCAAAACAACATGCGGATCCCTAAGACGGGTGGTTGCTATGGGTGACTATGGTGGCCAAACAACGATGTTGATTGTGGGGCCAAAGTGCAAGTCATCATTGTTTTCAAAATAGGGCAACTGACTTTCAACTGAGATGAAATACAAAGCAAAAGGACCTGCCGCTCAAACGTAAATATATATCGCCTTGACGACCAAGGCGCCGCATAAATACTGCAGTAAGATACACGGGGCATATCACTGAAGAGGTGCATGACGAATTGAGCCAAGGAGGGGGCAATACCATGCCTCAGGGTGCCTGGATGAAAGTTTAGTGATTTGGACCACTGAAACTAAAGACATAATTTAGCAAAACGCTCTGAACGTTGAAGGTTATCGCTTCTCGGCCTTTTGGCTAAGATCAAGTGTAGTATCTGTTCTTATCAGTTTGATCGCTGATATGTTGACTATATGTCAACATTCGATCAAATGTATTTTTGCTCCTTGGAGAGTGGCTCGAAGCTTGCTTCACCCTCTCCACGGATCACCCTGGTATTGCAGTTCTTCCAGGTGTGGTCCATCTCCCTCCTAGGGATTGTAATAAAAACTGAAAGAAATGTACCCTCGACTGGCCTTTCCTATGCAACAGCATGTAAACTGGAGTGTGGGTCCAAGCTTGATTCATACTTCATTTCGAGTACGGGAAACGCGTCACGTCGCAACTATTTCGCGTAGGATACTGCAAGACATGTAAATTTAACGAGGAAGTAAATCTAACGTTTTCACGAGTGACATTTTTAGTAAGTTCAGCTGAGGCTGTGACTTGTGTTATGTGCGGGTGTGCCTGAAGACTGCAAGATCGTTAACGTATCTATAATGTTCTCGTTAACCTATAGATTTTGGACAACCGTTAAATTATTTGCGACTTGTGCCACTCGTTAAAGAGTCGCAAATTTAACGATCATCTTACAGTAAGCCAGTGGGAGTGTGGGACGCAATTACTCCCCAACGATATTCGGCTTTTACACTACTAGCACCAAACAAAAACAGTTGGTACTACCCGGTAGTAGTTGTTTGGAGGCTAATACTAATACCGTAAAAGCCCCTGTGCGCGCCCACTCGAAATTACGCCCACCCTCCGTGTATATGCCCGGTCAGGGGAAGTAAACACGTTTGTTTCAAAATAGCGCCCATGCCCATGTATACGCCCAGCCATGCCAGCAATACCAGTACATGTACAGGTACTGATACCCAATACCAATACTTACTGCTATCCCTATTCCAAGTATACGCCCGGTTCCAAAATAACGCCCGTGCCCTTGTATACGCCCAGGAAATCGAGGCTGCTATTCTATACGCCCAGGGCCTATACATGGGCTTTTACGGTAGTGTAAGAGGTGCACAACTACAGGTATACTGGCATTCCAGACACTGAACTGGAGGACTCGAGTTCCCAAGCCTACGCTACGACAGTCTACGTACATGTGTCTAACGTTAGTTACCAGACTTTCCAAACTGAGACTAGGCTTCGCACCTCCTTTCCACACCGCACGCATACACTCACAGCACAGCACGATTATTTTTTACACCAGATCTTACTTATTATACTTTGCTGTGTGCAGGCTTGTTCCTGCCTGGCTGAGGTGATCCGTTGCCGCTGATCTTAGCAGATTTCCACGCACATAATATCCTAGCTCGGGCGTTCTCTCATTCTCGCAACATCCTGAGAGAGATGTTCTCCTAACATAGTAACAGCTCGATCAGTTTGTTTCACAAATTTGTAGAAAATCAAGGTCAAGAGAAAGTTTCGTTTCACGACGCAGGTTCCCCAGCTGGAGTTCGCAAGCTAATCTTGCTTCCATACGACGACAGAGTGACAGGGCTGATTTGTTGGTTGAGGCACAGCTAGCCCATAGCCTAGGCATAGACACGGCAACACTCCAACAGGTACTAGTAACTACTACTAACAGTTACTAGCAGGCGACTGAACTGAAGTGAAGCTCGAACAACTGCCTTGAACTGGTTTCTTCCCGATCCCCGACGCTGCATTTTGAGTTTTTTTGTGACTTGTTTGTGTGGGTCTACTATGTCATCAGTTTCTGTCCCTCCAGAAACTTGCGGAGACATTTCGGAAATATCGCGGAAAAAGTTGCGAGGTAAAATGCCACAAATTGCGGGGAATATTGCGGATTTTGTCAAATATTGCGGGATTATTGTGGTAAAATTGCGGAAATTGCGGCCGATTTTGGTACTTGTACTGTAGTGGTGTACGATGTACGAGTCGTACAGCATAAATCATGCATGACAAAGCAGAACGTACGTGTGCTGCGCTGACTGCGTTCAACTGCAAGACAGCTTTCCTCCATCCTAGGACAACACTCGACGCGAGCCTTATTTCGTGACTTGTCAGCCGCTGATTTGCCCAGAAACTTCGACATTCTGGTGTCGATCTCACAAGTAAACTACTGACGAGCTTGAAGAACTAAAGAACATCGAAGAAAGACCCCAATATCGCGGTTGCTTTTCGAAATATCGCGGTGTTCAAGTATCAAGGACAGTTTTCTACAATAACGCGGATGATTTTTCAAATATCGCGGATATCACGGACTTTTGTTCAAATCGCGGAAAACAACGCGGCCGCGGAATCGCAAGTTCCTGGAGGGACAGCAGTTTGAAAGTGATGGCGTAAGGAGTCAAGAAATACCGACTGATAACGACTTTTGTGTCAAATAAATCCTTTTCACATTGCCATCGCCAAGCAAGTTTGCATTTGGGCTACATTACTACAGTGTATACTCAGCATAGCAAGAGTTCATAAACTCTTGAATAGTCTTCGTTTACACAAGATGCACTGCACTGGTACCTTGAAATGAAATTGGAGTTACTTTACCAACCGGCCTCGGCAACTGAGTACTGGGAACCCAGGGCCAATGAATAGGCATACAACCAACCTCAGCCATGGAAGCTACAGTCAGTTGCGCTCATTGAAGTCCGACCCAAAGTGCAAAGCTGGCACTTGCTCGCCCTTGACGTCCTGGAAGTGGTACAAATGCGGCCTGACATACACATGTACAAGTACAGTGATGTAATCGGAACTGGTCCAGGGCGTCAGCTTTGCACTGTGGGTCGGATTTCAGTGAGCGCAACTATATGATTATAGTAACAACACACTGGATTGTGGAGCCGAAACTAGTCCAACTTCCAAATGCTTTGGCAAGAAGGTAGCCTTCTGACAGGTGGGCACACAAACGCACACACAGACACACACACGCGTGCACGCACACACCACACACATGCACACCCACCCACACGCACGCACACTCGATGACATAGCAAGCGCAAGCAGTGCAACAGGCGAGCTGAAGATTGACCGAATTAAAAACATAAAACATAGAGCAAATGTAGCCAGAAGAAATGAGAGAACCAGCTCCCAATTGTATGCTCGTATTGAAGCAAGAAATAATATTATACTATTCGAGTGAGGGTATCACAATGCTCTCCTGTGTGCAGACACGATGCGAGAATGTGTCCGTACGAGCAACAGATGTGCCAGATAGGCATCAAGATCGCCATGCATAAGAGCGCACGTATATACAGTCAAGGGGGTGTTTGACACAAATCATGTTGCAATAAGCCAGGTTATCTTTCGCAGCTCTCACAAGACAGGGACAGGGAGTGATCGGCAACCAAGCACACACACACACAAGGACACACTATGAACATGGAAAAGCGTGTGAAGCAGCGGTGCACACACACACACACACACACACACACACACACACACAGACGCACACACACGTACACACATACACACACACAACATCCCGGTTCTCACATGATCGGTGTGAAGAGAGGACCCCGGTAGGAGGCGACGTTCTTGTCAGTTTCGTGGACGGTGACATCATACAGATGCGCACCCACCAGCGACGTATGCTCTGCCAGCTGTTTCCAGATGAAAATTGTGATGTTCTCGACAGTGCTAAACAACAGCAGTCAAAACAGAAAACACACCAGCGTGAAATAACCAGACAAGAGGTACACAAAGGAAAGTCAGGTCTTGTTCCTGTAACTTTGAGTTTGAGTGCCGAAACGTTGTGAAATAACGGAACTGGCTCGGATATGCAGCGCATGGGAGTGTGTCTGTGTGTGTGTGTGTCCACCCGGATTCCTTACTTTTGAGTTTCATGGTTCAACAACCAATCATCAGGCAACAGTGAAAAATGCATGGGTGTACTGCGCTTCTTCCCATCACAGGCATTGAGCATTGTAGCAGGTTAAGACACTGCACTGCCTCTGTGCATGAATAGATCAGCATAGCCAAGGCCTGTATGCACAAGCAAGCAAGCAAGCAAGCCAGCAGGACTATTGTGGACAGCTGATTTCAAGCCCGTCCCCCCCCCCCCCCCTACAGAACACCAGAGACATCAAGTGTGGGATATACGCGCGCGAAGCGGCCAGGGTGGTTCCGAACCATTTCATATCGATGCTGCCAGTACTCGTTTCCCAGTGTTCGTTGCATAGAGAGGAGGCGTGTGCAGCCTCTAGCTGAGTGTAGGGGCGACGCCACTCGAGGGGTTCACGGCGGTGCGAGGAAGGGAGCAACACTAACATAGCACGCAACCCGTTCTACACTCTGGTTTATTCTTCTGGTGGTTCGAGAATGTATGTATTGATCCACGAGTAGGAGAGGCACAGAACGGACAACGAAGGACAAAATCTGCACAACTAGAGGTGGGATAATGCATATGTCCACGCCTCCCATCCGAAGCACACCGGACACTCAAAACGAGTACATGTACCAGCAGCAGCATCGATATGAAATGGTTCAGAACCACCCTGGCCGCGTGTGTGTGAGTGAGAGTGTGTGTGTGTGTGTGTGTAAGAGAGAGAGAGAGAGAGAGAGAGAGAGAGAGAGAGAGAGAGAGAGAGAGAGAGAGAGAGAGAGAGAGAGAGAGAGAGAGAGAGAGAGAGAGAGAATGTGTCCGTTGTCGTTGCACAGAGCATCTTTTCAAACGCAGGCATGCCCGAATGATGGCAAACTCACCTGACAGTGGAGGTTGATCTAAAGAAGTCTACATCCTTGTCGATATGTTTGTGATCAAGTTCACCCAGCACATCCTAGACTCAGTAAACAGTAAATAGTACCATGCCGCGCACGCACACATGCACACACACACGCGCACCCCCCCCCCCCCACACACACACACGCATGAGCACACACGAACGCATGAGCACACACACACACACGTACATGTACGCACAAGCAAGGAGACAGAGATGTCAATGAATGATATACATGTATCTACCCAACAGATAAATTTCACTGTAAATACGGCACACCTGTGGGTCAAAGAGAGTTGGCTAGAACGGGAAAGTTCGTCCACACTTGGGCCACACGTGACAGGTTACAGGTGACAGGGTGCATCTAGATTTAATTGTTCGTGTCAAATCACTGCAGAGCCAAAATTCAAAGTTGTCACATTGCACAGACTCACTGTTTGAAGAGTGACAAACAAAAAGTAAGAGTTGGATAAGCAGCATCTTCAGCCTTTTTTATTTTATTTTATTTTATTCAATGTGACCGCCAATGCATGCGCTCTCTGACTGACCACCTTCAAACCAGCAGCAGACAAACTCCAATTCGGATACTGTTCCCACGTTGAAACCAGGAACAAACAGACTCCAATTCAAGCACTGATCCCTTAGGCCACGATCGTTTGGTCGGATCCACTGGATCTGCAGTGATTGATTGGTCGAATCCGGATCCAGATCCTTCGGATTTGGATCCGAGTAACCCTGCCCCGGGAGCATCCAAATGTGACCTTTGTGCGTATGTGGCGGGTAAAATCATTTTTGTAGTCATTGTCGTACGTCTAGTCGACTTTCGTTGACTTTTCGTACGACGCGGGTGATCAGTACGACTTTTGCCCTTTTGGATGACCTGTCAGCGCCATTTTTTACTTCGTCAACATGGCAACAACCAAGGTCCACAAAAAAGTGATCGGTTGATTCTGAAGGATCCGATGGATCTGAGATCTGGATCTGGATCCGGATCCGACCAAACGATCATAGCCTTAGACAGCCGTTTTTCAGCGAAGGTATAGAATACTGCCATTCAGGCAACTGTTTCGACCCAGCAGATCCTATCAGTAAATTATATCGCATATCGTACGGCTAGGTTTTCTGCGAAGCACTCTCTTTATGCTGATAATGGCTGAAAGATAAAGCAGCGCATTGGTATTGCTATGTCTCTGTCTCTCTTAGTTTTAGACACTTACCTTCATGGCAGTCCCGAGATCGACCAGGTTGATGACCATGCCGGTAATAGGGTCCACCACGCCGTACACAGTGACGGTGACTGAGACACCACGCAAGACGCAAAACACAACAACATGTTCATTGAAACTTGCGAGTAAAAACTAAAAAACCAAGCTTGGATTTCAACCTTTGCCAGCATTGTTGGCCTTACTCATCCGTGTTTGGTTTAGAAGTAATGTACCGCCTGGTTGTTTACCCAGCAGTAAAGGCAGACAGTCAGGTTAACACCGAAGAACACGACCTAGCATTGAGCCAGACAGGACCAAATTACCTATTTGACCAAAGGAGCTATTCCTCTATAGGCAAAGCTATGAAGATTTCAGGCAGGCAGTTACTGCCCTATCCACGAGGAGCCTACTACTTTTTTTTCATGCACAAATCAAAGGCTGCAAATGCCTGCAATACAGTCATATTACTTTCTTTCAAAAAAAATTGCTCTTGCCTTTACCTTTGTAGTTGTGTCCATGGCCATTGGGATTGTTGCACTTGCCAAAGATCTTCTTATTCTCCTCATCAGTTAGGGAAGCGCTGAAACAAGACAACAGGAATAAAATAGCTGATATCCCAACAAGGAGCTGGGAAACAGCTATTGCCCAGATTTAGAATCGGTTTTATCAAACGTACATACAGCCGACTCCTGATATAACGAACACCATTGTGCAGGAGAATTAGTTCTTTATAGCCGAAGTTCGGTGTAACAGAAATGCATTCACACTACTAGTATACATGCAGCAAGTCATGCCTGGCAAGTGGCCCATGCCTGTATGAGTTGCAGTATGAGTTTGAAAATCAAAATTAATACAATGTTCCGTGCATCGTATAAATCTGCCTAAAGTGAAAACTCTGGGAATTCACTTGTGAGAGCAAATATGTAGCACGGGCATCCCCCAGTAAACTGACCACTAGTCTTCACAACGTTATCATTATTCTGAAATAATATCCGTTCAGACCAATGCTCAATGATGACCAATGTTCATCCGAGATAGAATAGGAGAGAGAGAGCCCATTTCCAGAACACTCACTAACACATGATGCCACTACACTATCGCGCCAAGTCCAACATCTATTCTTACACACGTGCTAAGACACTCATGAACACATTGGCACAATACAGAGAGAAAGAGAGTGCCATAGGAATATTTCGATCATCTCCATTGATCAACAGAATGACACTTTTACTTACGCATGAAGACGGTGTGCGGCGGAGAAAGCCTCAGTTCGAGATATAAGCACTCCACCTGGCCTCGGCTTTGGGGCTTCGATCGCCTCAGCCGCCATACTCTAGTGATCAACTATTGTCCAATACATTTGTAAAATTTAATGGATGATTGAAATAATCAATTTCAAATCTTCAATATTGCAATCTTCTTCAGAAAGAAACCTTCGCCAACAAGGCTCATCTAGATCTGTCATCGCGCGATATCGTCTTTATCGACTGATCAAACTCAGCTCAGGCAGACGCACGTGTGCACGAGTAGTGATTGGGATGGTTACGTAATGTGCACGTGCTGTGTCGAACCACAAAAATAATGAACGTCGACGCGTGGACCATGCATGGACGTCCGGACGTGTATGTACGTGTGGAACGATCTTCAATTACAGAATGGCTCAGACCACGCAGTGGTCGCCAGCTATTCTGGATTATATGAAGAATGTGATGTCGAACATATCAACGTGTTTGGCCTAATTCTCTAACTTGACAGCTAGTTTGTAGTGTATTTTACATGTTTTATGTGAATTTTGTGTTTTATTTTGTGCGCATGCCCTTTGGCATCTTGGAAAGCGCACATTTTTTTGTTGTCGAAACTGTCCGTTCCACACTTGCTCTTCGGCCTTTGATAGCGAGCCTCTAACAAGTGCATTATCCCAATATCAACGTAGACGGGTGGGAGGGAAGGGACGTTGATATGTTCGACATCACATTCTTCATATAATCCAGAATAGCTGGCGACCACTGCGTGGTCTGAGCCATTCTGTAATTATATTTCAGAATGCTCTGTCTCCATATCAACGTGATTTTGTAGCTTGTCAGTGGTCGACAGCTTGGTAGACAGGACAGCCTTCCCGAAGGTGTTGTTCTTCTGAGGCTTGTAGTAGAACTTTTGGAAGATACTCTCACTGCTCCAATCTGCTGCAGAGAGGATATCGGTCGTTGTGACCCCAGCGTCTGCTGCAGCTGAAGTTGCAGCACTTCGCACCGAGTGCGCTTTGAAGATATCCGTATCGATTCCGGCCTTCGCCAGAACTGTTTTAATCCATCTGGCTACGGTCGATGATGACACCGCTTTGTAGGGTTGTATTGTAGCAATCAGGAGTTGAGCTTGCTTTTCATCATCAGCTCGATTCGCCAAGGTCCTACTTTCGTAGTCCTTCAATGTTTGCACAGGACACAGTAGTGCATTGTCCTTAAATGCTGGGAAGAAGAACTCTGTAATCTTCTTGTTCTGCCTGGACTGCTTTGCCAGTTTTGTCGGGTGAAATGTTACGCCCTCCGGGCTAAACTGCCTGAACCTTATATCAAGGTTCACAAGATCCACCGATCTCGATGGCCTAGTGAGGGCCAACAGCATCGTGATTTTGAACGTTATATCCTGGAGGGACATTTGCTCGTTCTGACCTAGTGAGACCAGGTATGTTGTGACCTTTGATACGTCCCACGTTGAGGAGTACCTAGGTTGGGGTGGTCTTTCATGGAAGACGCCCTTCAGTAGTCTGCTTACCATTGGGTGTGATCCCACTTCGTATCCATCAACTTTGTCGTGGATAGATGATATTGCAGATCGATAATTACACAAGGACCTATACTGGTACTTATTCTGATAAAGAGAAGCCAAGAAGTTAACCACGCCGGCTATATCTCCCGAAATGGGATCAATGTCCCTTTCGACACACCAGCATGCCCATTTCTTAAAGGGGGAATCATAAGTTTTTGCAGACTTCTGTCTCCAAGATGCGAGGAGAAGTTTTGAAGCCTCTCCCGAAAGGTTCTCTGCTGAGTATCTTGACCTGAGATATTCCACACGGCTAGGGGTGGGTTTATCTCCGGTTCGTTGACTGGGTGAGTTGGTTGGATCGGGCTTCTGGAGCTCGTTATGAGGCAAGGCTCTTGGATCAGCATGTCCAATAGCATTGGGTACCACACTTGGCCCGGCCATACCGGTGCCACAAGCACAATCTCTGCATTCTGTTGTTGGACTTGTTGCAGGACTTTGCCTATCAAGTTCCAAGGTGGGTTGGCATAGCCGTTCGAAACTTTCCAGTTTATTGTGAAGGCATCTGTGGCTATTGCTACTGGGTCGGGTCTCCAACTCACATACTGTGGGAGTTGATGGGACAGTCGAGAGGCAAAGAGGTCCACATCCAGTGGGCCGAATCTCGAGTTTATCCTTTGAAAGATTTTCGGGCATAGCATCCAGTCCGATCTGTCTTTCATCACTCGGGATTCCTCGTCGGCAATCACATTCAACGAACCCGCGAGATGAGAGGCTTTGAGAGTGATATTCCTCTGAAAGCACCACACCCAGAGCTCTTTCGTCAACCGGTTGAGTTCCGGTGATACGGTTCCTCCCAGTTTGTTGATGTAAGTCAGGGCAGTCGTGTTGTCCATCTTTAGATGGATCACAACATCTGTAGCATCCTTGGCATAGCTCTTGATCGCAAGGGATGCCGCCAGTAATTCCAGGCAGTTGATGTGCATGTGTCGTTCCTGTGGGGACCATGGTCCGCCTGTTCGAACATTGTTGAAAGATGCTCCCCAGCCTATTGTGGATGCATCTGTCTCTATCACCATGTCCGGCTTCGCCAACAGGAGTTGTTTCCCGTTCTTGTGAGACAGGTGATCCGTCCACCATGTCAGTTCCTCTCTGGCATCTGGTGACAGATGGCAAGGATGGGAGTACTCTTGATTCCCCTCCTCGAGAGACACTTGTAGACACCTCTGCAGGTGTCTGTAAAACAATGGTGCCGCAGCGATTGCTTGGGCCGCATGGTTCAGTTTGCCCAGAAATCTGGAAACTGCCAACGCCGTCAAGGCATCTGCTTGCAGTAGACTTTTCGCCTCGGACTTGATCTTCTTGATCTTGTCTGAGGGTAACTTCAGCTCCATCGTTGCGGAGTTCACTGTCAACCCGAGGAATTCTGTCTCCTGGGTTGGAATCACTTGGGATTTGGTTTGGTTTACTGTGAAACCCAAGTTTTCGAGTAGAAAGATCAGGCACATTGTGTGTTGACGAGCTTTCTCTTCGCTTTCTGCCAGAATCAGAATATCGTCTATGTAGATGATTACTCTCAGTCCGAGTGTCCTGAGAAAAACCATTATTGGCTTCGTGGTCTTGGTAAAGACCCATGGAGCCGACGACAGACCGAAAGGTAGGCAGTTGAACCGGTACGTCTTTCCCATCCACTGAAATTTCAGGTAGGATGTGTGTTCCGGCGTTATCGGGATCGCAAAGTAAGCGTCCTTTAGATCGACTTTCGTCATCCAGTCGCCCTGCTTTAGCAGGTCTTTGAGAGTGTGAATTCCTTCCATCTTGAAGGAAACTTTCCTCACAAAGGTGTTGAGACTCTTCAGATTTATTATTGGTCTCACACCCCCGTCCTTCTTCGGGACTGCAAACAACTGAGAAATGAATTCTTTCTCTTGCTTCTTCATCTGTACTTCCGTAACAGCATGTTTCTCTACCATCTTTTGCACTTCTAGTGAAAGACAGTTCATCTCTTCCCCGGAAAAGACTATTTCGTGGGGCGGTTTCACTTGATGGGGTTGAGCAATCCAATCTATTGCATACCCTTGCACACAATCCTGTACCCAACGGTCGGATGTGAGAACTTTCCAATTTTGAATGAAAAGTTGTATCTTCCCTGCAGGGGGAGGACTCTGTAAGGCTATGCTTTGAGCCATGTCCACAAAACCCAAGTCCTTCAGGCACACCATAAGCGGAGATTGAGACATATTTGGAAGAAATTTTATTTCTTTCAAATGATTCATGAGGAGGCACTTCTGGTCCCGCTGATGCTCGTGTGCTGGACTTGGACTTGTTGGAGCTGGATGTCACTTGGCAGAGTCCGAGGACTTCTTGCTGCTGCCGTGGCTGAAGCTCGAATTGCCTGCGTAAGGCTGGTACCGTCCTCGTCCCCTGAATCCTCCACGGGAATTGCGGGAGTCCCGGTGAAAAACCGGCTGGTGGCTCTTGAAACCGCTCGGTTTCTTGGCAGGAGCTGACTGGGTATGGGTCTTGCTGGCTGCAACGCTGTTCAGCACCCGCATCTCGTCATCACGCTCCTTCGCCTTCTTGTAAAAGCCGTCGCCAAACAAATGTTGACGGGCTTCGGTAAAAATGGAGTCATCCTCAGCCATATCCGCAATGCGGGGGTTCAGACTAGAGAGGGCAATTTGACGGCGTTCCCGATTACATTGGGCCGAAAAATTCCCGAGGAGTTTTACTGCTGACTGTACAGCCTCCAATATCTCGCAAGCAGAGATATCCCCACTCTCTGCTCCCTCTAACACTCGAGTTAGGGGACCAACGGCGTCCAGGCCCAAGCTTTGCAGGCGCGCCAATTGTTTGTCTCGAGACTTTGTCTCATTGGACATCCTGGACTTCATGACTTTGTCAAGTCCAGGACAAGCCGAGTGTGGACAGTTTGGGGCACCAAACTTGTCACGAATTTGTCGCCTGCTCGGATTCGGCAAGGCGGAACAAAAACTCGACTTCAACAAACCCATAGTTGAATCAGACACAGGAAAAAGTTTGACCCCTTTGGAGTCCAACTCTTCCGTCTCTTTCTCCATTTCCTCCATCACACTGCTATCATCCGGCCATGACTTGGAGCTTTGCTCCTTGTATGGTGTGGACGTGCCGAGGAATGAGACAGTCGAAGGATTTTGTCTTTGACTATCCTCGATTCTCGTTACACGATCAGCAATGCTTTGCATGCTGGCTTGGATATTTTCCAGGATTCCAACCATCTCGCTGGACGGTGTAGACGACGTCTCCATACCAGTATCCATAACTAGAAGAAGTACAAAGACTAAGAAATGTTTCAAAACTGAAAAGGTACAAGACGTACAAAAACGCAGCCGTCACTCAAGGCGAGCTAGAAAAAAGGCCGAAGAGCAAGTGTGGAACGGACAGTTTCGACAACAAAAAAATGTGCGCTTTCCAAGATGCCAAAGGGCATGCGCACAAAATAAAACACAAAATTCACATAAAACATGTAAAATACACTACAAACTAGCTGTCAAGTTAGAGAATTAGGCCAAACACGTTGATATGGAGACAGAGCATTCTGAAATATAATCGATCGCTTTCAAAACAATCAAACGGAACTGAGAAATAAAACAATCCATTCGGAGACAGTGTTGTAATTTCCAACAAGAGATACTTTTGAATAGTCTACGTGGAGATAATAACTAAACCTTTGCTGCTTTGTTGTTTGACATGAGCGCCAGTTTGATTTTGTACACAGCTATTTCAGAGATACTTTCCCTTGGCTATTTGGCTGGAGTAATAGACTACGACTAGTACATGTAGTTTAGCTTGTGGAATCAATGACATGGTCGATTCGGTAGACACAAGGTCTGTTCTGTTGTTGTACGCAACATCTGATGAACATGGTGGAAACAGTCGAGTCTGCAGTCGAATATCGTAAGTCTAGAACTAGGCTACTGCTTCCCATGGTATGTTTGGACGTGCACTGCGTTGACTCGTAAGAGCAAAGAGTCATCGGATGTGCCCTGCTTGCATCTTACATCATGATCGCTGTCTGATTTTTAATTCTCGCCAGCTAGCTGCGCTGTGACCGTGCAATGACTCATTTGGTTCATCACATTTAAAACAGGAAGCCAACTCTAGAATACTGTATTTACAATGTATGGGCATGTACATGAATACAAATATACACCAGGGTCATGGAATGATGTACTCAAGTAAGGAGAGGTGTGAGGAGTAAGCATATTTGGCATAGTGGCCTCAACCGACAAATGGTCCTGACTTCACGTAGCGCCGGCATGCACCCGCCATGCCCTGAGTAATGTCCCCACTGTGTGCAGCATTATGATACCAAGAGTACATAACCCCCGAGGGCTTATGGGGGTTATATACTCCTGATGATATCACTATGACCGAGAGTTTATAAATAAGGAGATAGTGGTAGCGACTGGAATTCTGGAGATACAATTATGGATTTGATCCTAGAGGGTGGTGGCGTTCCCACGGCGGATGCGGAAAACTCGGCTTCCAGCCGAGTCTCACGCGAACCGTGAAATTTTATTTTATTTATTTATTTATTTTTTTATTTTTTTAATTATGGATTTGCAATGGAAGTGGTGATTTTGGTTACTGTATAGCAGGAAATTTTCGAACGGAATTAATTTTCGTACGATTTCGTACACGGCCTCTTTTGTCCTAAAATTAATTCCGTACTTAAATTTGTTCATGCGAAATTATGTACACTATACATGCATACTGCTTGCGAACACGTGTATTTAGCATGCAGCACTGTACGAAAATATAATCCGTACAAAAGGTCGAAATTCGGCTTTGTCCGAAAATATTTCCGTCCGAAAATTTCCTGCTATACAGTATCTTGATCACTGAGAAGGAATGAACTCGGATGGAGAGCCAAGGATTATTTATAAAAAGTAAAAAGAACCAAGGACCAAGGAACTACAAGTTACACTATAATGTCCACTAACACCACCAGTTACTAAACAATCAGCTCATGCGATAACATTGCACGACACTGACCGACGGTACTGACATTCTACAACTAACTGACTAACAGCTCCGAGTAGCACATCTTGGATGCGCACTCCAACAGCCTTCCAACTTGGAAGGTTCTAAGTTATAGAAATAACATAAGATGTGCTAGAGCTGTTAGCCAGTTAGTTGTAGAACGTCAGTACCGTCGGTCAGTGTCTTGCAATATTATCGCATGAGCTGATTGTTTAGTAACTGGTGGTGTCAGTGGACATCATTATAGTGTAACTTGTAGTTCCTTGGTCCTTTTTACCGAGAAGGAAGTTGATAACTCCGTGCAACTGCATTATAAATGGAGAAAGAGGTGGCTTGTCGGCCAGGGCGCAGGATCAAAGGTTACCTTGTAGTAGTTGTGTACGTTGCATGTAAAATGGAGTCTGAGTGCAGGCTTGGAAAAATGTTGCCTTTTAGGTTTTATGTAATTACTGGATATTCTATGTACATGTGCGTAGTCTGCAGAGGGCCTAACGGTACTCGCGTTACGTTTGGTTTGGAGCTCGTATCTCCTTGAAGGCAAACTGAGTGCGGGTTGACTGCACACTCAATGTGCAGTGTATGTACACGATGCGTGTTGTGTGACCTACAGACAGGACCGTACCTCCAATACACTACCATGAAAGAGCGGTGGTGGCAGTGGGGCGCTATCAGTACTAGCAAGAGTACATACCCCCCCCCCCCCCCAGAGTGTGCAACGCCTGATCCAGCTCTGCGTAAGGTCTTGGTCGAGCGCAATCGGATCTTTGCGTCATAATACCGTACACATCTGAGGGGAACCCGGGGAGTCGCAGAGACTATCGGATCAAAAACAACGATGCCCTGCCTCGAGACAGGCCTTGTGCTGGTGTGGAGTGTACGCATGACATCAGAAGATCCGACTACGCTCGACCAAGACCCTATTCAGAGCTGGATCAGGCGTTGCACGCTCTGGGGGGGGGGGGGGGGGGGTTGTGTACTCTTGGTACTAGTAAGAGTACAATTATAACTAGGGCTGAGTCGGGTAGCATTTTCTTCGGGTATCGGGTAGTTTTCCACGGGTAGCACGGGTACCCTATCGGGTAGGATTTCCATGGTAACACCACAAGGCACCCCTTCTCTTACACACTGGGTAGACATGCGGAGCATTACATGAATTTGTTCACGTGCACTGTACCTAATGTCATCTGCGACTTCGGGTTTTCGGATACTATTCTGTGCCCGTCTACCCGAGGTCCTCACGGGTAGCGCGGGTACCCGACAACCCGTGCACACCCCTAATTATAACCTCCCAAGAGTGTGCAACTCCTGATACCCTTTCTACGGGGTACACCGACGGCAAAACTCACATCACGTGGTGTAGTGTTCCAGTTGTAAGTTTCCAGCCCGTTTTTAGCGAGCAGCGGAGTAATAAAAAAAGCACTCCCTGAGCGTATGCAACTCGCCAGTATGATCATCCTATGTTTGTACGTAGTACGAAATGTACCTGGGACACGCGATGTGAGTTTTCGCCGTCGGAGACCCCATATGCAGAGTTGCACACTCTTGGGAGCTTATTTACTCTTGGTACTAGTACTCTTTGAGTCGTATGTGTTCCATCATTGGCGAAACAGCATATAAGGACAACACTATGCACAACCACCAATGGCATTGACAACAGTGTGATCAAGCATTATTCCATGTTGAATCAGAGCAGTATAGAAGGTGGGCTTTTTAGAAGCATGTTTTGTCCAGAACTCAATCCAGATAGATCTGAAGGTGAAAGTTTCTCCCACGGTTATTGTCACTTTCCTTTATTTGAGTACAATCCCTAGAAGGGAGATGGACCACACCTGGAAGAACTGCAATACCAGGGTGATCCGTGGAGAGGGTGAAGCAAGCTTCGAGCCACTCTCCAAGGAGCAAAAATACATTTGATCGAATGTTGACATATAGTCAACATATCAGCGATCAAACTGATAAGAACAGATACTACACTTGATCTTAGCCAAAAGGCCGAGAAGCGATAACTTTCTCCCTCAAGAGGGTTTGCCTTTGTCTAAAATGCATATGGAGGGTCCATAATGGAAAAACTAGACCCTGGACCATTTCCAGACACTTTAATGGGTAAATCCACTGCCTCATAATTCCCGGTAGGCTAATAGAGCTACCTTGTGATTTTGGTGGTGTCCGTTGACGTGTAGCCTTGGTAACGCCATAGCAACCATTCTAAACTGCAATTTGTATCATTGAGTATTGCTTGGAAAGTCCACTATGGCTGCAGATGCACTATTGAAGGCACTTTGTGTGAACTTGGCCTTCTCGTTACACCTACTGCCATGATGACACAATAATGACGTTGTCACGGAAACCACGCGCTCCTTACACATACTCAGTTCCATTGGTGCAGACGTGGATGCCTCGGCAATGCTTGGTTTTGTTTTTCCGGTATAGTTTTGAGGTACTGCAGTTTTGTTGCTGTTGCCATGGTAACTTGCATCTTGAACATTATGTCTATGTGTGTGCGTGCATGCTTAAATGTACACATGTGTGTATGTGTGTGCATGTGTGTGTGTGTGTGTGTGTGTGTGTGTGTGTGTGTGTGTGTGTGTGTGTGTGTGTGTGTGTGTGTGTGTGTGTGTGTGTGCATGTGTGTGTGTGTGTGTGTGTGTGTGTGTGCGTGTGTGTGCACGTATTTTTGCGCAGGTCATTGTTGAATAAGAATGGTATCCGCAGTACGTACATGCATGCCAGCGCAGTGCTGCAGGCATACACTCAGGCTCATTGCTCCTACATTCCGGCCGAGCCCAGCACCCCGCCATCCGTACCACTTAGTACCGTTACACATGATCTCTCATTGTCATGTGAATATCGCCCTGTTTCTTCGATGACGTGTAGCAGCAGCAGCACCGCCGAGACCTCTAGTGCTGCGCCTATCGAACAAGACTTGGATACGCTGGTGAGAGATGCCGAATCGCCGGGCAAGAAATGCCATACCGGCAGCCTGCCATCACCCTGTCCGGATTCTGCTGTGTGTCTCGACATGGATCTCTCGTCCAGCTCCCAACGTTCCTATCCAGTTGACACGCGTGGTAGTTCCGCATTGCCACCGCAGCCTGGCCTGAACACGGCTGACCGAGGCCATCTGTGTTCGGACGGCCCACAACACCGCTCGCCCCATCCCGACTGTCGCTGCACGTCGGATTGTTTCGAAAGCCGGCCCCTCACCTGGTATTGCCGGTCTCAACACATAACGCATATCATTGCTTGCCATGCGTATCGATGCCATGCCTATGTAACAGGTAAGAAATGTACATCAGTCATAGAAAAAAGTAAAATGAGGTACCGTAATCTCGCCCATATACGACAATGGTATTATAATCGAATATAAGACCACCTTCGGTTACAGTATAAGACTATGGCCTTATTCGTTACAGGGGAAGTTAAGGCTAAAATCAAAAATTCACCAGTTGTATTCTTCGGGGTGCTGAGTCGAATGGTCTTGGTCCGAGAAAGCTGAGACGCTCCCTTCCTACTTTAATCCCAATCGAACTCGCGCACTTCCACCGAAACTGGGTGACTGCGCCCTACTAGATGGGGATTTGTATGCAAAATGTCACTGAAAGCGCCATTTCATTCTTATAAAAGCACGGATGACCGCGATTGGCCCATATGTTGTAGTCTTTTGGACGCTGAGTCGACTGGTTTTGGTCCGAAAAGGCTGCGATGCAGCGTTCCTCCTTTATTCCCAATCGAACATGGTTGAACAAGCGGTCACGTGCTCCTTTTATAGCTTCGCAGAGCTTTGGCTGAGTTTTATAGTTTCTCGGGGCTTTGGCTAAGTTTTATAGCTTCTCAGAGCTTTGGCTAAGTTGTATAGCTTCTCGGAGCTTTGGCTACGTTTTATAGCTTCTCGGGGTTTTGGCTAAGTTTGATAGCTTCTCGGAGCTTTGGCTAAGTTTTATAGCTTCTCGGAGCTTTGGCTAAGTTTTATAGCTTCTCGGGGTTTTGGCTAAGTTTGATAGCTTCTCGGAGCTTTGGCTAAGTTTTATAGCTTCTCGGAGCTTTGGCTAAGTTTTATAGCTTCTCGGGGCGTTCGCTAAGTTTTATAGCTTCCCGGAGGTTTGGCTAAGTTTTATAGCTTCTCGGAGGTTTGGCTAAGTTTTATAGCTTCTCGGGGTTTTGGCTAAGTTTTGTAGCTTCTCGGAGCTTTGGCTAAGTTTTATAGCTTCTCGGAGCTTTGGCTAAGTTTTATAGCTTCTCGGGGCTTTGGCTAAGTTTTATAGCTTCTTGGAGTTTTGGCTAAGTTTTATAGCTTCTCGGGGCTTTGGCTAAGTTTTATAGCTTCTCAGAGCTTTGGCTAAGTTTTATAGCTTCTCGGAGCTTTGGCTAAGTTTTATAGCTTCTCGGGGCTTTGGCTAAGTTTGATAGCTTCTCGGAGCTTGGGCTAAGTTTGATAGCTTCTCGGAGCTTTGGCTAAGTTTTATAGCTTCTCGGGGCTTTGGCTAAGTTTTATAGCTTCTCAGAGCTTTGGCTAAGTGTTATAGCTTCTCGGAGCTTTGGCTAAGTTTTATAGCTTCTCGGGGTTTTGGCTAAGTTTGATAGCTTCTCGGAGCTTTGGCTAAGTTTTATAGCTTCTCGGAGCTTTGGCTAAGTTTTATAGCTTCTCGGGGCTTTGGCTAAGTTTTATAGCTTCTTGGAGCTTTGGCTAAGTTTTATAGCTTCTCGGGGCTTTGGCTAAGTTTTATAGCTTCTCAGAGCTTTGGCTAAGTTTTATAGCTTCTCGGGGTTTTGGCTAAGTTTGATAGCTTCTCGGAGCTTTGGCTAAGTTTTATAGCTTCTCGGAGCTTTGGCTAAGTTTTATAGCTTCTCGGGGCGTTCGCTAAGTTTTATAGCTTCCCGGAGGTTTGGCTAAGTTTTATAGCTTCTCGGAGGTTTGGCTAAGTTTTATAGCTTCTCGGGGTTTTGGCTAAGTTTTGTAGCTTCTCGGAGCTTTGGCTAAGTTTTATAGCTTCTCGGAGCTTTGGCTAAGTTTTATAGCTTCTCGGGGCTTTGGCTAAGTTTTATAGCTTCTTGGAGTTTTGGCTAAGTTTTATAGCTTCTCGGGGCTTTGGCTAAGTTTTATAGCTTCTCAGAGCTTTGGCTAAGTTTTATAGCCTCTCGGAGCTTTGGCTAAGTTTTATAGCTTCTCGGGGCTTTGGCTAAGTTTGATAGCTTCTCGGAGCTTGGGCTAAGTTTGATAGCTTCTCGGAGCTTTGGCTAAGTTTTATAGCTTCTCGGGGCTTTGGCTAAGTTTTATAGCTTCTCAGAGCTTTGGCTAAGTGTTATAGCTTCTCGGAGCTTTGGCTAAGTTTTATAGCTTCTCGGGGTTTTGGCTAAGTTTGATAGCTTCTCGGAGCTTTGGCTAAGTTTTATAGCTTCTCGGAGCTTTGGCTAAGTTTTATAGCTTCTCGGGGCTTTGGCTAAGTTTTATAGCTTCTTGGAGCTTTGGCTAAGTTTTATAGCTTCTCGGGGCTTTGGCTAAGTTTTATAGCTTCTCAGAGCTTTGGCTAAGTTTTATAGCTTCTCGGGGCTTTGGCTAAGTTTTATAGATTCTCGGGGTTTGGGCTAAGTTTGATAGCTTCTCGGAGCTTTGGCTAAGTTTTATAGCTTCTCGGAGCTTTGGCTAAGTTTTATAGCTTCTCGGGGCTTTGGCTAAGTTTTATAGCTTATCGGAGGTTTGGCGAAGGTTTATACCTTCTCGGAGCTTTGGCTAAGTTTTATAGCTTCTTGGGGGTTTTGGCTAAGTTTGATAGCTTCTCGGAGCTTTGGCTAAGTTTTATAGCTTCTCGGAGCTTTGGCTACGTTTTATAGCTTCTCGGGGCTTTGGCTAAGTTTTATACCTTCTTGGAGCTTTGGCTATGTTTTATAGCTTCTCGGGGCTTTGGCTAAGTTTTATAGCTTCTCAGAGCTTTGGTTAAGTTTTATAGCTTCTCGGAGCTTTGGCTAAGTTTTATAGCTTCTCGGAGCTTTGGCTAAGTTTTATAGCTTCTCGGAGCTTTGGCTAAGTTTTATAGCTTCTCGGGGCTTTGGCTAAGTTTTATAGCTTCTCGCAGGTTGGCGAAGTTTTATAGCTTCTCGGAGCTTTGGCTAAGTTTTATAGCTTCTCGGGGTTTTGGCTAAGTTTGATAGCTTCTCGGAGCTTTGGCTAAGTTTTATAGCTTCTCGGAGCTTTGGCTAAGTTTTATAGCTTCTCGGGGCTTTGGCTAAGTTTTATACCTTCTTGGAGCTTTGGCTACGTTTTATAGCTTCTCGGGGCTTTGGCTAAGTTTTATACCTTCTTGGAGCTTTGGCTATGTTTTATAGCTTCTCGGGGCTTTGGCTAAGTTTTATAGCTTCTCAGAGCTTTGGTTAAGTTTTATAGCTTCTCGGAGCTTTGGCTAAGTTTTATAGCTTCTCGGGGTTTGGGCTAAGTTTTATAGCTTCTCGGAGCGTTGGCTAAGTTTTATAGCTTCTCGGAGCTTTGGCTAAGTTTTATAGCTTCTCGGGGCTTTGGCTAAGTTTTATAGCTTCTCGCAGGTTGGCGAAGTTTTATAGCTTCTCGGAGCTTTGGCTAAGTTTTATAGCTTCTCGGGGTTTTTGCTAAGTTTGATAGCTTCTCGGAGCTTTGGCTAAGTTTTATAGCTTCTCGGAGCTTTGGCTAAGTTTTATAGCTTCTCGGGGCTTTGGCTAAGTTTTATAGCTTCCCGGAGGTTTGGCTAAGTTTTATAGCTTCTCGGAGGTTTGGCTAAGTTTTATAGCTTCTCGGGGTTTTGGCTAAGTTTTGTAGCTTCTCGGAGCTTTGGCTAAGTTTTATAGCTTCTCGGAGCTTTGGCTAAGTTTTATAGCTTCTCGGGGCTTTGGCTAAGTTTTATAGCTTCTTGGAGTTTTGGCTAAGCTTTATAGCTTCTCGGGGCTTTGGCTAAGTTTTATAGCTTCTCAGAGCTTTGGCTAAGTTTTATAGCTTCTCGGAGCTTTGGCTAAGTTTTATAGCTTCTCGGGGTTTGGGCTAAGTTTTATAGCTTCTCAGAGCTTTGGCTAAGTTTGATAGCTTCTCGGAGCTTTGGCTAAGTTTTATAGCTTCTCGGAGCTTTGGCTAAGTTTTATAGCTTCTAGGGGCTTTGGCTAAGTTTTATAGCTTCTCGGGGCTTTGGCTAAGTTTTATAGCTTCTCAGAGCTTTGGCTAAGTTTTATAGCTTCTCGGGGCTTTGGCTAAGTTTTATAGATTCTCGGGGTTTGGGCTAAGTTTGATAGCTTCTCGGAGCTTTGGCTAAGTTTTATAGCTTCTCGGAGCTTTGGCTAAGTTTTATAGCTTCTCGGGGCTTTGGCTAAGTTTTATAGCTTATCGGAGGTTTGGCGAAGTTTTATAGCTTCTCGGAGCTTTGGCTAAGTTTTATAGCTTCTTGGGGGTTTTGGCTAAGTTTGATAGCTTCTCGGAGCTTTGGCTAAGTTTTATAGCTTCTCGGAGCTTTGGCTACGTTTTATAGCTTCTCGGGGCTTTGGCTAAGTTTTATACCTTCTTGGAGCTTTGGCTATGTTTTATAGCTTCTCGGGGCTTTGGCTAAGTTTTATAGCTTCTCAGAGCTTTGGTTAAGTTTTATAGCTTCTCGGAGCTTTGGCTAAGTTTTATAGCTTCTCGGGGTTTGGGCTAAGTTTTATAGCTTCTCGGAGCTTTGGCTAAGTTTTATAGCTTCTCGGGGCTTTGGCTAAGTTTTATAGCTTCTCAGAGCTTTGGTTAAGTTTTATAGCTTCTCGGAGCTTTGGCTAAGTTTTATAGCTTCTCGGGGTTTGGGCTAAGTTTTATAGCTTCTCGGAGCTTTGGCTAAGTTTTGTAGCTTCTCGGAGCTTTGGCTAAGTTTTATAGCTTCTCGGGGCTTTGGCTAAGTTTTATAGCTTCTCGCAGGTTGGCGAAGTTTTATAGCTTCTCGGAGCTTTGGCTAAGTTTTATAGCTTCTCGGGGTTTTGGCTAAGTTTGATAGCTTCTCGGAGCTTTGGCTAAGTTTTATAGCTTCTCGGAGCTTTGGCTAAGTTTTATAGCTTCTCGGGGCTTTGGCTAAGTTTTATACCTTCTTGGAGCTTTGGCTACGTTTTATAGCTTCTCGGGGCTTTGGCTAAGTTTTATACCTTCTTGGAGCTTTGGCTATGTTTTATAGCTTCTCGGGGCTTTGGCTAAGTTTTATAGCTTCTCAGAGCTTTGGTTAAGTTTTATAGCTTCTCGGAGCTTTGGCTAAGTTTTATAGCTTCTCGGGGTTTGGGCTAAGTTTTATAGCTTCTCGGAGCTTTG